TATGGGGAGGCCAAGGGTGCTTCTGGCGCTGCTCCTGCTCCCAGGTAACAGCCCCCTCTCCAATCCCCTGGTTTTGGGCAATTTCAGCGTTTTGGGGCTGTCGGAGGAGGAGGGAGGGTGCGGAGCCGGGTGCTCATTAAGYCGGGTGCTGCCACGCGTGCTTTATCCCCTCACTGAGTGTCTGCAGGGGGGTTGGGGTAAAACACGCTGGTTTTGGTAATTACCCCCGGCCAATATATTCTGAAGCTTTTTGAGGGAAGACCCCTAAATCTCATGGGATTTAGGGCGAGGCGAGAGTGGGAAGGGGAACCCATAAAGAGGAATTAAACCTGGCTTTAATGGATYTTTTTTTAAAGACAAAAAAGGGCATTTCCAGCCCACATCCCCACCTCCCGTCTGTGATCCAGTGGGGCCACCAACGCTCCCCGCCGGGGGGGAAACTGAGGCATGTGGGCAGCGCGGGGCACACCCGCGGGGCTTCGGGTTGGGGGTCTGGAGACTTAATTTTGGTGGCGGGGACGTGTTTGGGGTGCTGGGAGTTCTCTGTGGGATGCCTCCCCGCTTTCCCCCGCAGTTTTCTCCCCCCATCGGGGCGCCGGGCACCCCAATCACCCTTCCGGGTGCCGCTGGATGGGTGCAGGCTGCCTTCCCTACTCTCAGGACCCTCTTTCACCTCCCCAGGGCTGTGTGAGGGATTCAACATCGACGTGTGGCACCCGCGGGTCTTCCAGGGGCCCCCCGAGTCCCAGTTTGGGTACCGGGTGCTGCAGTGGGGGGGCGACGAGGACAAGTGGTGAGTGACCTCGGGCGGGACCCGGGGCAGATGGGAGAGAAGGGGAGACTGAGGCAGGAAAGGGGGGGATCGTGGTGGGAAGAGGTGGGGAAAGGGAAACTGAGGCAGGGAGGGAGTACATTGAGGTGGGGAAGGGGAAGCATAGGAGGGCACAGGCTGGAGCAGCAGGAGGCCGTGGCCAGACGGCCGCACAGACAGACAAAGCAGCCTCGGTGCCGTTGTGTGCGAGGCAAGGCRTGGCACGGTGCCCCGAAATAGGAGYGGCTGGGTTAGAGTGGGGCAGGGCTGATTACCTCCTCATTGTCCCCTGTGTGTCCCTCCCTGTGCCCCTTCTTGTCCCTCCAGGCTGCTGGTGGGGGCCCCGTGGGATGGGGATGGTCAAGGTGACATCTACAAGTGCGGCGTGGGACTCCAAAACTCTTCCTGTGCCAAGGCCAACCTGGGTACCGAGAGGGAGTGGCTGTGACTGGTGAGGCCAGGGGAACCCGCGGGTGCTCACCCTGCTTCTGTCCCTGTGTCCTCAAGGGACCACATCTCCRTGGCTCCGCAGCAGCGCTGGACGCCTCGGGATGACGCTGGTGGACTCCAGGGATGGTGGATTTGTGGTGAGCAGAGCTTCCACAGAGRAAATCTGAAGCGTGGTGGGGCGTGGGGGAGGGAGTGTATGTCACCCACTGTTGTGTCCTCACGTCACTCCCCAAGGCGTGCGCCCCGCTTTGGTCCCAGGAATGTGGCACCTCTGTGTTCAGCTCTGGCCGCTGCATCCGACTCAACGAGGAGCTCCAGCTGATGGGGACCATTGCACCCACAGYACAGCGTGAGTAGGGTGGGGTGACTGGGATGTACTGGGATGTGCCATCGTGGTGTCATCGTGTCCCCTGCCAGGCTGTTCCACCTACATGGACATCGTCCTGGTTCTGGATGGCTCCAACAGCATCTACCCCTGGGAGGAGGTGCAGGCATTCCTCGGGAACATCCTGGGACGCTTCTTCATCGGTCCTGGGCAGACCCAGGTCAGGGAATGGCACCTTGGCCACCACAGTGTCCCTAAGGCTGGAATAGTATCCCCAGGGCAAGGTGATTGTCTCCAGGGCAATGCTGTTGCCCCTGGGGTGATGCCAGCCTTGGGGTGACATCATTGTCCCTCGGGTTATGTCATCATCCCGGGATGATGCCACCCTTGTGATGCTGCTATCCCTGGAGTGATGCCATTTCCCTCAAGGTGATGCCATTGTCCCGGGGTGATGCCACCTACTCCTGTGGAGATGCCACCCTGGGATGTCCTTGCCCCYAGGACTATGCTGGCTGGAGATGGTTTTGGAGGGGGAAAACATGCCCTTTTCCAGGGATTAGGGTTTCCCGTGGGATTTGGGGGAGGTCCCTTTGGATTTGGGGGGTCTCTGGCTCAGGTTTYCCCCATTTCAGGTGAGGGGGCTGCCATACAGGGAGCAGGTGGTGCAGGAGCAAATGCTGGGGCAGCACCCTTGGGATTTGAGGAATGTCCCTGTGGACCTTGCAGCTCTGAACCTCCMTGTTTCAGGTGGGGGTGCTGCAGTACGGGGAGCAGCTCGTGCAGGAGTGGGCGCTGGGGCAGCACCCCACGGCTCAGAGCCTGCTTGAGGCCGCTCGGAACCTGACCCGTCAGGAAGGGAGGGAAACGCGMACGGCCATGGCCATCCGGCAGGCATGGTGGGCTCTGGAATGGGAATGAAAGTGGGATTGGSAATGGGGGCAGGCTTGGGGATGGGATTGACTTCAGGATTGAGGTCAGGATTGGGATTGGGAGAGGGAGTGGGGTTGGGATTGGGATCAGAATTGGGATTAGGGTCTAGGTTGGGATCAGGTTTTGAATAAGGATCAGAACTGGAATTGGTATCAGGTTTGGGATTAAGTCAGGATTTGCATTGAGGTTGGGGTTGGGGTTGGGATCAGGATTGCGACTAGGATCTGGGGTTGGGGTTAAGATCAGGGTCAAGACTGGGAAGAGTGTTAGGATGGGGATGGAAGAGGGGCTCATTCTGCCAGCCACATTCCCGCAGCACTGAGTCCTTCAGCCCGGCACGAGGTGGACGCTCAGGGGCCACGCGGCTGCTGCTGGTGGTGACAGACGGGGAGTCCCACGATGGGGATGAGCTGCCAGCAGCACTGGCTGAGTGCGACCGGCACAATGTCACCCGCTATGCAATCGCCGTGAGTCCCCTCCCGCTGAGCCCCATCCCTGCATTCCTCTTGACCCTTGGGGAGCTCCTGCTGACCCCTGTCCCCCCCCTCAGGTTCTGGGGCACTACCTGCGTCGGCAGCAGGATCCCGAGGATTTTATTCGCGAGATCAAATCCATCGCCAGCGACCCTGACGAGAAGTATTTCTTCAATGTCACTGATGAGGCTGCCCTCAGTGACATTGTGGATGCTCTGGGAGATCGGATCTTCAGCCTGGAAGGTCCAGCTTAAGGCTGGGATCCCAGGAAGGGCCTGGGAATTTCAGCTGGAAGCACAGCAGGAGGAACAGTGTCCTTTCTCCCCTGGTTAGGCACCCATGGGGACAACGAGAGCGCCTTTGAGCTGGAGATGTCCCAGATCGGCTTCTCCGTCCACCACCTCGAGGTGATCCCATTGGGAAAGGTGGAAAATAACTCTGAGCCCATCCCAGCCCTGCTGGGTGTCCCGGGATGAGAGTGTGACATTGGTGGGGGTTGAGGCATTGCAGTTGTGCCCAGGGTGACCTATCCCACCCATCCTGACAGGACGGGATTCTCTTTGGAATGGTGGGAGCCTATGACTGGGAGGGGAGCGTGCTGGAGGAGAGCCAGCGTGGGCGCATTGTCCCACCCCGGGAAGCATTTCAGGAGGAATCCCCGCTGGAGCTGAAGAGCCATGCAGCATATCTGGGTATGGGGGGATCCCAAGGGATGGGGGGGGGGGGGATCCTGAGAGATGAGGGTGTCCCAAGGGATGTGCAGTGAACCAGGCATACTCCATATCCTCAAGATTTGAGATGAATCAGGGATGTTCCATGTCCTGGAGACCTGGGGTGAAGTGGGGATGCTCTGTGTAATGGATATTTGGGTTGTTTGGTGATCCAGAAATGCTCCGTGTCCCAGGGATGCTCTGTGAATTTGGGGTACCTTAGGGATGCTCCATGTCCTGTAAATTTGGGGTACCTTAGGGATGCTCCATGTCCTGTAAATTTGGGGTACTTTGGGGATGCTCCATATCCCAGGGATGCTCCAAACCTGGATATTTAGGGTGTCCAGGAACACACTGGGGACCCTGTCTCTCCAGGGCTGTCCCCACTGTTGACCCTGCTTTCCTCCCCAGGGTATTCCGTGTCCTCGCTACAGCTCCCGGGGGGGCAGCGCTTGTTTGTGGCTGGAGCCCCCCGATTCCAGCACAAGGGCAAAGTTGTCCTCTTCCAGCTGGACCCCACAGGGACTGTGACTGTGACCCAGGCTCTAATGGGGGAGCAGGTGGGAGGCAGCAGGGGGCCTTGAGTACCTCGGGAGGGCAGTTTGGGCCCCCCACCTCCCTCAGCCTCACATCTCCACTGCACCCTCAGATCGGCTCCTACTTTGGCAGCGAGGTTTTGGCCCTCGACCTGGAGGGAGATGGGGACAGTGACCTGCTGCTGGTGGCAGCGCCCACCTACCTGGGGGACCAGAGCAGGGAGACGGGGAGGGTCTATGTGTACCGTGTGGGACAGGTGAGAGGGCAGGTGTGGGCCTGGGGGGCTCTGGGAGGGGGTGTACCTGTATGGTGCGGGAGAGGTGTGGGACTGGGAGGGGGCAGGTGAGAGGGGTGAGGGGGCTGGGGTGGATAGGGGATCAGGGTGCACTGGACACTGGGGATTGGGAGGATTGGTRGGATGCAGATGGATTGGAGGGAGGCAAGAGTGAGGGGATCAGGGGAACACAGTGGGATTGAGGGGGTGCCTCTCCTGTGGAGGTACTGAGGGCCTCCCTGCACCTCCCAGGACCACCTGAGCCTGGCGGGGTTGCTGCACCCTGACCCGAGGCCGCAGGATTCCAGATTTGGCTCTGCCCTGGGCACGGTGCCGAACCTGAGCCAGGATGGGCTGGCTGGAGTCGTCGTGGGAGCTCCGCTGGAGGATGGGCACCGCGGGGCTCTCTATGTGTTCCACGGCGCCCCRGGAACCCTTCTGCCCCAGTACAAGCAGGTGAGACGGCGCTGGCAGGGGCTGGGTGCCACGGGTGCGGTGAGCACAACCCTGTACGAGCCAGTTGCGATGCCACAATGATTGTTCCTAGCGCATCGAGGCAGTGGCGCTGGGATGGAGCCTCCGGTATTTCGGGATCAGCGTGGACGGACGGGTGGACATGGATGGGGATGGGCTGGTTGACGTGGCCGTGGGAGCGCAGGGTGCGGCTGTCGTGCTGCGGTGAGTAGGGGTCGGGGGGTTGGGGACTGGGACACCCTGGCCACGGGGATACCCTGGGAATAGGGACGTGGGGAAGGACAGAGAATCCCCGGGGGGCAGGGACATCCCAGGGAACAGGGACACGTCTGGAACAGGGAGATGGGAGAGATGGGGGCACCCTGGGGACAAGGTCACCCCAGGAACAGTGATGTGGGTCATGGGGACATTCGAGGGACTCCGTGCCTCAGTTTCCTCTTGTGAGAACATGGCATGCTCCTGAGATCCTCCCAGGCCTCTCCCTGMCTCAGTTACCTCTGTGACAGAACCCAGGATAGGGCAGCGCGGTTTGAGGGTCTCCCTCTTCCCACATGATCCTGATGAGATCCCAGGTGTGACTGTGTCCCCCAGGTCCCGCTGGATCATCCAGGTGTCTGCACGGGTGTCTGTGGAGCCGGCGGCTGTCAGTGTCACACGACGGAACTGCCAGCGCAGCGGCTCTGGAGCCGTCTGCCTCCGCACCCGGATCTGCTTCCGTGCTGGGACACGCACACAGAGCCCTGTGGACATGGACATCGGTGAGTGTTGGCAGTGGGGGATCACAGGGTCCTTGGAGCATCCTTGGAGCATCGCTGGCTGTCCCTGGAGCATCCCACAAAYATCCCTAAGGCTCCTGGAGCATCCTTGCAACATCCCACAGCATCCCCGGCTGTCCCCAGAGAATCCCAGGGTGTGATCCTTAGAGGACCTAGCAGCGTTCCAGGAACACTCCAGGAACATTTCTGGAGTGTCCCAGGGTATCCTGGAGAATTTCTGGAGCATCTCTGGAGCATCCTGAGGGCCATGGATCATCCCAGGGTGTTGCKGGAGAATGTCAACGTCCCTGGGATGTTCCAGGAGCATCCTATGGGCATTCCTTTAATCTTTCCAGGGCATACGTATGGTAATCCTGAGTATCCATATGGTAATCCACCCCTAGAGCATCCCAGGGTGGCCCTGGAATATCCCAGGAGCATCCTGCAGTGTCCTTTGAATATCAACAGAGCATCCGTATCCCTGGAGCCCCACTGGAGCATGTCACAACATCCTGGAGCATCTGAGCCTTTCCTGCAGCCCTGCTGGTGCACCCCAGCCTAACCCTGGAGCATCCCAGGACTTCCCTGGACTCCCACTGGAGCATCCTGGGGTGCACCCACTSCTGCAGGTGTCTTGGTCCCTGATCCGCTCCTTGTCCCCCAGATCTCCGGTACAACGTGTCCCTGGAGGAGCAGATCCCAGGGTCTCGTGCCGCCTTTGACTCGGGTGCCCGCCGGCTGCTTCAGCGCCAAATTGAGTTGCCACTGGGGAGGCAGAGCTGCATCCGTGTCCCCTTCCACGTCCTGGTCAGCCCCAGGACTCCTCTCTGCCCCATGGGAGGGCTCTTTCTGCCCCCCATTCCCAGGCTGTGACTGGAATGAGGCTGATGGGATCCCCTGGTTCTGCAGGACACCTCAGATTACCTGCGGCCCCTCAGCCTCACTCTCAMCTGGGCCCTGGATGGAGCTGCGAGCTCGGTGCTGGATGAGGCATCTCCCAGCACCATCCGCAAACTGGTGGGTATTGGGAGGGGCCTCTGGACACTGGGATCAGTCCTGGACACCAGGATCACCTCTGGCTCCTTCCAGATACCATTTTTCAAGGATTGTGGGGATGATGATGAGTGTGTCACCGACCTGGTGCTCAAGGCCACCACGGACATTGTGGGCTCCAGGTATTTCCAGCATCCCCCCAGTGTCCTTATGGTGTCCCTGGCATCCCAGGAGCCCTCTGTGACCCCCCTGGCCTCCAGGCAGAGCCCCCACATTCTGCGGAAGGGCCGGAGGCAGATGCTTGTGGAGGTAGAGCTGGAGAACCGGGAGGAGAATGCTTACAATGCCAGCCTGTGGCTGCACCTGTCTGGGAACCTCCACTTCTCCAGGTTCATGCTCCAGGTACAGCTGGGGAGGGCCCCYGCAGGTCCCTGGAGAGTGCCTCCAAATTCTCCCACCAGGACAAAGATGGAGACTCAGGTCTTTGGAGAACCTCTAGGTCATTCTCATCCCAACCCATTCCAGGTGGGATGGGTCACAGTCCACTGGGTCCCCAAACCCATTTCAAGTGGAATGGGAGTCCATTGTGTCTCCGGCCCATTCCATGAGGGACATGGGGGTCCATTGTGTCCCCAGCCCTGCCCCCCCCCCCCCCCCAGGAAGGAGATCAGGTTCCATTGGTCCCGTGGCCCCCCCAGTATCCCTCTGTGGGGCCTGTTGCTGCTACCTCCCAGTGCCCCAAGTCCCCTCAAGTTCATGTCCTGGTCCCCATTGTGTCTCCCTGGCAGGATCCCAGCACAGTGAAGTTGGAGTGCTCAGCACTGGGTGTGCACCACCGGCGCTGCAGCGTTGGGTATCCTGTGTTCCGTTCGCAGGCCAAGGTAGGACCCCTGAGACCCCCATGAGCCCCTTGGGACCCCCAAACCCCCACCACACCCCTCTGAGCCCTCCCAGGTGTCCTTCATCCTGGAGCTGGAGTTCAGCTGCTCTGTCCTTCTGGACCGTGCTGAAGTCATGCTGCAGGCCACCAGGTAGGGATGGGGGGGGAGTGCTGAACCTTTGGGGGAGGGGCCACACCCGGGKGTGTGTGTGGATCTGGGGATCCTCCCGAGTGTCCCCACTGTGCAGTGGCAGCACCGAGGYGACACCAGAGGACAACATGGTCAAGCTTTCTGTCCCCATCCACTATGAGCCCGAGCTGTTCCTATCCAGGTGGGGCTGGAAGAAGGTGAGGCAGAGCGGGCGGGTCACAGAGTGGGACACATACGGTGTGACCCACCTGTGTGTCCATTCCCAGTAACACCAACCTGCACCGCTATGAGATTCATCCCCTTGGCAGCTTCACCCACAGCTCTGGCCCCGAGTTCACCACCATGGTCAAGGTGAGGTGATGGGGGCCCAGGGAGCAGGGCCTGAGGGAGCCTTGGCTCATTGTGTACCCCTCCAGGTGCAGAATTTGGGATGCTATCCCATTGAGAATGTCACCCTGCACATGGCCCTGCCAGCACTGGGCCACCGCCAGGCCACCATCCTGTCTGTCACCCATGTCCTGGCTGACAACGTGAGTATGAGGGACACTTAGAGGGGCACAGTGGGCTGCACCCTCCCTTTGACCCCCCTCTCCTTCACCAGGCCACCTGTATGTTGCGACTTTCCCCTGGGGGCACACGGGTGGTGCCAGTGCCCCCCGAGGACCTGCTGCACACGGACAGGCTGGTAGAGATCGCTGTGCTCTCCCCCTCACTCCCCAGGGATTTGCAAGGTCCAGGGGGGATCCCAGGGCAGGGATTTTTGCCCCCAAATTTTTGCCCCCTAGGACTGTTCCAATACCTGGTGCCAGGAGCTGAGCTGCCGCTTGGGAAGGCTGGACCGTGGCAAGGGAGTCTCTGTCCAGCTTCTCCGCACTCTCCACGATGGCTTCTTCAGCGGAGTGAGCAAAGGGGAGGCATGCAGGGAATTAGGGAGCCTCCCTGCTCCAGGTAGAATGCTGGGGGGAGGGAGGGGGTTGGGACACATGGCTCAGACCCTCCGTTGCCCAYATCCAGGTGAAATTCCGGAGCGTGAAGATTGTCAGCAGTGTGTGGCTGGGAGTAGTCAGGGGTGTGTTGGTTCTGGAGGAGGGGGTGCAGCGCAGGGAGGTAGGACCCCTCCCCCCCCCAATTATCCATTTYCCCCCCTCCATCTTTGTTTTCCTCCCTCAATCCCTGTTTCCTCTCCAATCTTTGTTTTTCCTCCCAAATTCCCTTTTTCCCCCGTCAGTTTTCCCCCACAAATTCTCTGTCTCCCCCATGCCCATTTTTCCTCCCCATATTCCCTGTTATTCCACTCCCCTCCCCCAGTCCTGGTTTTCTCCCCCAAATTCTCTGTTCTTCTCGCCAATCCCCGTGTTCCTGCAGCTGGTGCTGGAAGTGTTCCAGGGAAGGCGGGTGCCCGTATCCCTGTGGATCCTGGGAGGCAGYGCCCTGGCAGGGCTCCTGCTCCTGGCACTGCTCAGCCTTGGCCTCTGGAGGGTGAGGGGGTCACGATGTCACCTTGGCGGGGGGAGTCATCACCTTCAGCATGTCATCCTGTTAGGGGGATGTGTCAATGTCCGCCCCCCCAATCCTCCTCTTCCCCACTTGCCCCCAGCTGGGATTCTTCTCCCACCGGAAGCCTTCCCAGGAGGACCAGGATGAGGAACACTGAGGTGGCAGCTCTGCCGCGGAAGGAGATCCCGGAACCTCCCCGGACCCATTCCAGGGCCATCCCGAGGCCTGGGACTCCTGGGCTGGTGGAGGGATGAGCCAATGAGGCTGGGGCCCCGAGAGTGGAACTGGAGGATTTGTGGGGACACGAGGAAATGTGAAAAGGGGGAACGAGGCAGACCGGAGCAACTCCAGCAATAAAGCTCCAGCCTGTGGTACTGCTATGTTCTGCATCCCTGTGCATGCTAATGATGTGGAAGCAGGAATGCTTCTTGATCCAGGGAAAAACCTCTGGACTGATCCCAGATAGAACACAGGGTAGGGGGGGTAGGATCCAAATCTGAGCCTCCACTGGCTCCTATCTTAAATTCAGGACCCCAGGAAGGAATTCCTGATTTCCATCACTACTTGGAAGAAGGAAGAGTGGAAGCAGGAACAGAGTGGGTGTGACGCCCCAGAAATCCCCATCAGGGGAGCTAATGGGAAAAGCACCAGGATGAACCCAGGATCTGGCTGCTTTTTCCCAGTCTCTGTGGATCCACAGTCTGGTCCCAGCTCCTGCCCCAGGTGCTGGGTGGTGTCCTGGTGTCCAGAACGGCTTCCAGCAGAGCAGGGAGGGGGGACAGGGCCAATGTGTCCCAACAGAGCGGGAGATGTTTGGATATCCTCCCTAGAGACAAACCTTGGAAATCAGTGTTTTCCTTCTACAAAAGCTTTTTTTGAGCTCCTTTCTGGCCCTAGCAGGAGTACCTGTGCTCCCGCCTCCCTTTTTTCCAGMTCCAAGGATGACTTGGGAATTCCTTGAGAAAGGCCTTTATTGGACAGAAGAGCAAAGAAAATTAGGAATTAAATCCATGTGGATGTGGAGCCACTGAGCTCAAGGGGTTGGGGAATGTCCCCCATGTCAGGGATGGGGTTCACAATGTCCCCTGAGGGCAGTCAGTGGATACCACAAGTACAAGGATAACTCCCAGGATTCAGACGTGGATAAAAGTCACAGAAATAGGGAAAAAAATCTCAAAACAAAGAATTGGCAAAAATAAAGTTTCCTTAAGTTACAGGGGAGGGTGGGGGGATTCCCAAGGGATAAGCAATGTGGTCCATAATTCCCACCTGGAATGACTTGTGTGGGTGGAGGGAGGYTTGGACACACCTGAGGCCCCAGGCATGTGGAAAAGGGTCAGAAAAACCTGAATCAACCCCAAAAATAGTCCAGGACGAGACAAAATCCTGCTTGGCGCATTCCTGATACCAGAGCATTCACAGAGCCTTTCCAGGGCCACGCGGGCTCCTGAGGGTCCGACTCCCCTCAGGAAGGATTCCAGACCCTTCCTTCTTCCACCTGCCACGATTTTATAGACCCCAAGGTTTCCATCCAAAATGGGGCAATAAAATCCCTCCTGGATACAATTCCAACGTCTCGGAGTGCAGGAAGATCCCCAAAATCCCCTTTTTATCCCAATCTTTTTCCCGAGGAGGCAACGAGGGACTTGTAGCCCCTCTCTGGGCTGGGCCCCACTGGAATAAAACCTTTTCTGATATAAAATGAAATCAAATCACTCCCAAAATTCCCAATTTAGGACTAACGAGGCAATTCCATGGAGCAGAAGGATAAATTCCTGGGAGAAGAGTGCTYGGTGCCATAATCCCACAGCATGGGACCCCGTAATTCCTGCTACTCGGTGGGGTTTGTTGGAATTCTCASACAATGTACACCTTGAACGGGGATGCTCCAGCCCCTGGAACCCTCTGTAATGCTGCAGAACCTTCTGGAAGGGTCAGAAAGTCCATCGCTCCTGCACTGGGCTGTCAGAAGCATCAGGATTCAGCATCTGCCGGGTGGAATCTTCCCCTTTTAGGCTCTTCCTGCAGACGGGACATGTATCGTGCTGCGGGGAACACAGAGCCGTTATCCTGGGGGATTATCCCAYGGGATACGTGGGCTTTCTGGGATCTTACCAGCTCTAGCCAGGGCACGATGCAGCTGCTGTGGAAGACGTGGTTGCAGGGGAGCTGCCGGACCTGCTCTGCCACAGCATAATCCTCTTTGCACACTGGGCATTCCAGCCCTGTGTCTGTGGAAAACAGGGAATGGCAGGTTAGGGGAACAGGAATAAAGGCTCTGGTATTTGGGAGTCATTTGTGTAGGGTCTACTGGGAATGGGGTGCCCATCATTAGGACCCCACCAGGAACAGGAGCTCTGGAATTTACAGGTCATTTATGTATGGTCTGCTGGACATGGAACATCCATGGATCAAGGAATTCCTGCCAGAAACAAGCCAGGATCCATCCACACAAAATCCTCTGGGGATGAAGCATGCAGGGATCAATGCAATCCCACTAGGAACATGAGCATTAGGATTTGCAAGCTAGGATACAACCCACGGGGGATGGAGCATCCAGGGAACAAACAATTCCTGCTGTGAACATGAGCCCTGAGCTCCACCAGCTCGGATCCATCCACACACACACAACCCCCAGGGATGTAAGGAATTCCCGATGTTCTCCATACATTACCACCAAACAAAAATCAAAGTAAGGATGTTTGGATTCCYGCCACATTCCTGGCCTGGAATGTGGGTTGATGATCCCGATGCCAGSACCACCAGCAATGGCTGGTGGGTGAAATCCCACTGCCTCTCCCRCTGTTCCAAGCTCGTGATAGTGACATTGCCAGGAGCTGAGCTCCCTCAGTGATCCTGGGGGTCCCTTGTGACTTGGATATTCCAAGATTTAATGATTCTTAGCCTGTTTGGGCCCTGTGGGTTCAGATATGTGGAACTCCAGCTAGTCCTTAGCTTCCCGGAGGACAGAGGGGCGTGTAAAACCACAGGATAAAAATATCCCGCATAGAATTGTCTGGTTTAACCATAATGGAGGAGTTGGATTCTGGTAATAGAGCAGCTGGGAGAGGGAGGGATCCTTGGGGTGAAAAAATCACAGGATTTTTAATTGCAGAGCCAGGATTGCTCTGAGACGYCCCCAGGCCCTTGCTGGCAGTTTTCCATGACATTTCCAGAGCAGAATACGTTGAGAGCCAGTTTGAAAAGGAAGAAGGGACGAGTCGAAAGCACATACAGGGATTTGGGACTGGAAAACCATCACGGGGGTGGGAAGAGTCAGGACAGTACATTCCGGGACTCCCCAGACYCTAGAGAATGGTGGAGCTCCAAGATTTCCGGGAGAACTGAACACCAGAGACGGCAGCAGCAAAGTTTGTGAGCTGACTGCTTCCAGCCCWATTCCAGGGGGAACAAAGCAGGAATGGGGGAGCTCAGAACGTCAAACACCGGGATCCAGGTGCCATCGGATACGGGCATGGAGTCACCCACCGACTTGTTCCTGTGTCACCGGCACTGTTGGGAGTGACGAGATCTTCTCCTTGTCTGCCGGTGGCGGTCCTGTATTTTCCAGCTGTCCCAGGAGCTATGGAGAGGGAAAAATTCCGTGCTCAGAAGCAGGGACTTGGCACTGGATCTGCCCCTGGTGCACGTGCCCCTCACCTGAGTAACGATGGCATCAAGGCCGCTCTGTCCCCACGCATAATCCCCAGGATTGGAGTGCAGCATCCCGCTCCTGCCAAAYGGGAGAACCCAGGAATTTCCCCCATCCCAAACCAGCCCTCAGATGCTGGGTTACTGGTAGTTACCAGTGGGATCTGGGCTAATCCACCTTTTGACTCACCAGGAAAAGGGATGCTGGGAGCCAGGAACAGCTGAGTTGGCAAAAAATCCTGCAAAGATCTGCTGGATTATTCTAAAAAAGGCATCAGGGGAAAGAAAAAAACATGGGAATAACAAGTTAAGTAAGTAAATAAATGGTGGAAGAAAGGATGGGCAGGAAAGCACGAATTCGGATCTACAGATGCCTGGCTGCATGGCTCATGACTGTGAAAATCCCTCCATAAAGCCCCAAAACGGAGGAACAGTRGAAAGGAATTAAGGATGTGACCTCATCCCAGGATGGGCGAAAAGGGGAATGCCTCGAGTTCCAATGGAAGAGGTGGTAGTGGGACAGAGAAAACCAGGGGAAAGCATTAAAAGAACAAGTAAAATAAATAAATTGCGGCAGAAGGAATAGGCGATCTATCAGGGAAACTTGTTCCCATGGACACAGGTCTCACAGATGGAAATTCCCTGGGTAAAGCCCCAAAATGAAGGGAGAGCACAAAGGTATTAGGGAGGGGAGCCCATCCCAGAATGTGAGTGCTGGTTATACCCTGTGTTCCAGGCAGCAGGACAGGGAAAATAACTCAGAATTGTGCTAAGAGGGCTGACAGGAAGGGCCAGGGTCCCATTCTCCCAGGTTTCTCCCCAAATGTCCTGTTTTCCCTGGAGAAGACACTCACCCCTCAATAGCAGGTGAGCGATCAGGGCGGGAGCTGCCACGGGATCGGTACCTCCGAGGCATCGGCAGCCGTGGGGGGCGGCTGGGTCCCCAGAGCTCGGCCGGGGGGCCCCTCTCAGTATCCCGGCTCTCTGGATCCAGGGAGCTGCTACTCAGGAAYGGCCGGAAATCTGGGAAGAACATTGTGTGGTCCAAGTGGTCCCAAAGCTGTGGAGAGGGGGAAGACGGAAGTCACGATCCCCACTCAGCTGCAGTGCTCATCCCAGTGGGAACGCGAAGGCAGCGGAGTCCACTTCATCGGAGCATATTCCCATAGTTGTCATGGATCCCGGGAAAAAATGTCTGGCAAAAAGGCTCAATTATAGCCCAACTGCATCCAGAGCTGCTGCAACACCCCCGATGCAACTCCCTGTTCTGCACACATGCCAGTAAATGTAGAAGTTGAGGGGTTGCTCTCTCCCTCTCTCTAGGGTGTGCAATTTGAGGAGGGATAATGCTGGACACTCCCAAATCCATGGGATCACTTGGGGGCCTTACAGCCATAGGGAGGACATGGATGTGAAAGGACTGAAGGATGGTATTTGTACCCCTGGAGTCTCCCCAGAAGCATCCCAAGGTGTTGTCTAATCCCGTGCCCCTCATGCTGCCATTTTGTGGGATCTGTCCATGTGGATAATGCCATTCCCTGCCCCTGCAGTAGTGGATCCTGTGGTGCTAAATCCCACCTGCGCCTTGATTGACCCAATTCCCATCCCATAACCTCTCTGTGGGTAAGCAGGGGTGATCTGTGGATCTCCTTGCTACACCACTCCAGGGTTGCAGGAAAYSCCCAGGAATTCAGAGTCRGAGCCTAGAGATCCTGCAGYAACCCTCTCCCACAAATCCATTTGRATTAAGGAATAAAAAGCAATGTATGAACAKTCCCTGTTCTCCTGCCGCTCTGATAGGAGCTTTGTCTGCAACCACATCCTGGGGAGACCTTTCAGTTATTATACATCCCCAAATCCATTTCAATTTATGGAGCATAATATATGGGCTGAAATAGTGGATCAGGATCTCCCTGAAACTCGGTAATTTCAGGGATATTATGCAATATGCAAGTAATAATTTGGGTCAGGAGACAAATGGATCCAGATTAAGATGGGGAGGGACCCAGTTGGATGCTTGGAGCATGGAAGGAAACGGGAAGCATCCAGATTGGGAACAGATTGGGATCGAGATTGGAATTCCGGCTATTTGGTGACCCCATTTCTGGCCTAGGATTGAGTTGATTCCCTACGGGTTTGGACTTTCTAATGGATGGATTCTGGAAAATCTGGGAGCAGGCAGAAATGGTGAATACCTTCTTGCCTGGCTGAGCATCTCCACACAAATTCCGGCAGCTGCCAGCACGGGGGCAAGGCTCTTCCCTGAACCCTCCTTTTCCTGTCATGCCCATCGCAGGTAGGCAATGCCAATTTTCCGTCTCCTGAAAATTCCCCCAAATCCTGCAAGCTCTCAGGAAAAGGAGCTACCAGGGAAGAAGCCTCAGAAGAACTGGGAAAAGCAGGAAAACTCACCTCTGTGAACTGCGAGGAGGGGCTGTCATCCAGCRTGCTGCCATCAAAAAAACTGGGAAAAAGAGGAGAGTGAGGGCAGGGCCCTTTCCCAAAAACCCCCCTGTGCTTTCCAAATCCCTTCTTTGTATCCCAAAATCCCCTTAAAGGGGAAAAAAAAAAGACCAAAAAGGATAGGAAAATATACCAAAAAGGGCAAAGTCCAAAAATAAGAAAAAGGGCTTTTTTCCTAAATACCAAAAACGGTAAGAAAAAGAGTAAAAAGGATTTAAAAAAAGACCAAAAGAGTTAAAAAATAGCAAAAAGGGTAAAAACATCAAGAACACCAAATAAAGCCTTAATTTACAAAAAAAAGCAAACCAAAGAACAAAAGGGGAACAAAAATAGGRAAAATACTTCCAAAAATAGCAAATAGGGTGGTTTTGACTGGAGCAACTTCCAAAATTGTAAAAAAAATACAGAAAAGGGTAAAAAAAAGAACCCTGAAAGGTGTAAAGACAAAGCAAGAAGTGGGGGGAAAAAAAGCAAAAATGGCATTTTTCACACTAAATCTCCTTATTACTTGATCCATTGTCTTTCCACGTGCCTGGATATGGGATATCCCAGGATTCTCTGGTACCTGGAATCATCAGTGACTTCCTCGATGAAGCCAGACTCACAGCGGGGGCAGGTGTATTCCTGGGAAGACAAAAGGGAGCTGGGATTAGCCACGAAATATTTGGGATCCTAYGGAAAAATCCCCCTCCAGGAAGATTCCTGACCCTAGATCCCAAGCAGCTCATAACATCACAAAATCTGAATCCCATGATATCTGGGCACGGGTGAGTGGAAGAGCCACTGGTAGGAACCGCAGATGTGCGGAACAATATTCCTTTCCAGGAGAAAAATTTTCCCTGTTCTCATTCCTGGAGTTTTGCCCCAGAGCTGCAGATCAGCTTAAATTTGGAGAAAACCATGGAAAACCCCARAAGACCCCACATACCCTCTCTCATGGATCTTCCCTCTTTGGATCCTTTCCTGCAGCCAGAGCTTTCCCCGATCCCACCCTTCGAGCACTGATTTTTGTGGGATCTGTATCCAGAAGCAATCCCCCTGGATGAGATCATTCTTTCCTTCATCCATGCTTCACTGATCCCTGAAAATCCTGCATCCCGCTGTACAGCACATGGAATGGCCCCCACACTTTGGGTGTGGATGTTGTGGGAACTCTATCCAAATCTAAATGCAAATCCAAATCGTGGATCAGACCATCACTAGCAGCAAGTGGGATGCTGGTGCATTCTTGGAAGCTTTGCAATATTTTTTCTGTTGGAATCCAAATGGAAATTCCCAGCTTCCCACCCAGTAGCTAGAGAGAGATAAAAATGGTACTTTGGATAAACAGTTATGGAGAGAGTGTTTAGGAACAGAAGGTGTGTGGGATCCTGCACAGGGGTGGAACTGGCTCCCTGCTTTCCTGGGATGTGTAGGGATGCAGGGGATGATCCTGGAGCCTCTTAGACGTTCACATCCTGGGACCTGCACAGACATCTCATTCCCTAAGCAGGATCCTGCCACGGTGCAAAGAAAAAGAGATTTTGCAAGGAATCTTGTGGCATCCCATGGCTCTGACTCCACTCCAGTCTGGTGGTCTGTGCTTCCCTGAAGGAAAACAAACTGGAATCCCACCAGGAGCGCTTGTTTTGCCCCAGATAATTCCGGAGGCAGCTGGTACAGTGTGGCACATCCACATCCAGCCTGGACTGGATCCCCCCAAATCTGGGCAGAAAAGTTGGATTAGGCGTTTTTCCAKGTGATCCCTGCCCAAAAATGATGTAAAGATGCAAATGGAATCGCAAAGAAAAGTGYGTGGGACAAATGGGACTACAGACAAGTTATCTGTGGCTCTTGCTTCRTCCAGCAACTCCTCTATGGCTCCAATCCCAACTTGAATTTCCCCCTTTCCCTTAAGTGTAGTCAGGATAATTCAGCGTCTCAACCCTAGCACTGGATTGCTACCTTGTGGAATTCTACATCCCTCCTGCCATCCCCACATTCCTCACTTGGAAAACAAGAAAAAAACATGTCTTGCTGGCATCTCCAGGGCTCCACTTCTCAATCCAGAGGGATTTTCACGTGACAAGACCTTTCTTATACCATGTGGATGGGGAAGGGGCATAAAGTCCCCTCAGAAAGTCTCCAGGTGTCTTCCTAGAGGATTGGGATTCTCCAACCCAACGTCTCAAGTTCTGGTGTTGGGAGGTGCAGAAGTTCTGCTTGTGAAAGCCTCATTTTCCATCACGTCATTCCTAATCCCCCATCCCTCTCAATCACCCAAAGCAGGGAATTTTTTACACGGTGTTGTAGGTTGGCCTTCTTCAAGGACAAATCCCTGGGAAGCAATTGCAGAKAGCAGAGCCACAGGGCAGAGCCACAGGGCCTTGTCACCCCATTCCCACGGATCTGGGGGGATTCCTGAAATGGGAACTGGAGCAAAACCCCGTGGTGGATCACAAAAAATGAAATTTCRGGTGTTTTCCTGGTGTTTCCCAGGGAGCAGGGCTGGAGTTTTCCTCCCAGGATAAACAAGGAAGGGGATGGAAGCAGCAGGAAAGGTCAGTTTTTGGGCATGGAGGGGTTGGAGCGAGACTCGGACAATATTTCCTTTTAAAAAGTGGGTTTGGGAATGCTGAAGGGGGAAATGAATCCTTCAGCGTGGGATGGATGTGTGATAGAGAAAAATTTGGGACGCTCCCAGTTCCAGGGAATAGAAACTGGGATAATTGAGGAGCAGATAGACAAGTCGCAGCCTGTCGGAGGAGCACACTCTGCAAGGGCTAGTCGTGGAGCGGAATGGGAATGAGATGATCCGCTTCTATGAGGAACAGGAGCTTCCCCCAGTCCCTTTCGAGTGTGAGAAATGGGATGGAGGCGGGTATCACCTGTTCATGTGAGAACAGCTTCGGGGGCTGGAGCTCACCCCTTCCTTAGGCGGCTCAGGGAGGGACCGAGGGATCACCGCTGCCCTATCCCCCACCCGGGCTTTACCTGCAGCTCGGGGATGCCCGCCTCGGCCCGCCCCGGCCCACCCCGCCCAGGGCTCACCGGCAGCTCGGGGCTCTCCCTCTCCGACCCTCCCTGCCCGGGGCTCACCGGCAGCTTGGGGCTGACCTCGCCCTTGCAGCTGTGGCAAAAAAACCGGTGCTGCGGCACCGCGGCCGCCGCCTCCGCCATCTTCCCCCACGGCTGCCGCTACCGTCACTCCTCCCAGGGCAGCGAGCGCAGCCCAGAGAGGCCCCGCACTTCCGGCGAGCTCGTCTGCTCCACGCCCGGTCTGGAAAGCGCGGGTGAGCGGGTAGAGGAGCCAGGCGGGGCGAGGAGTGGCAGGCGCGCCCCCTGCTGCAGACCTCCCAACGGGGAACCGGGGGGCGGCAGCGGAATCGGCGCCACCGGAAGTGGCAGGAACAGGAAGTGGACACTGCAAGTGGTTATCGTCATGGCGGCAGCCTAGGCCAGACACGGTGGTGAGAGCGGCGGCCCGGTCACCCCTGGTTGGGCACGGGGCGGGGAATCTCGCCTGAAGGAAAACGAGGAGCCCTGTAACAGGGCTGAGCCTTCCCCGGGAAGGGATCTAGGACCTCTGCGACAGGGTCAGCACCTCTCCCCACAGCTCCTCTTTGTCCCCGCCCCACTGCTGGGATTCCGGAGACGCCGGGATGACGCAGGCGGAGCTACGGCTCTGCTCCCTCCTGCTCCAGGAGCACTTCGGGGAGATTGTGGAGAAAGTCGGGAACTCCCTGCTCCGGACGGGACCGCGGCCGCTGCGGCTCCTGGTGGGGGACACGGGGCTGCTCCCTGATCAGGTACGGGATGGGAGGGGGCCAGGAGGGGAGACTGGGAGGAAAACCTGGAGAAGAGCAAGGAGTTTTCTAAATGCAACCAATTTTGAGTGGGAAGTTGGTGTGATGCCTGAGAAAGGCCYAGAAATAAAACTCCATAGACCGGTGTCTATAGAGCTGGTATTTGTTTATTGCAGCGCTGGAGRTGAGGGGGATTTCTCCTCCTAACGCACCTGTCTTTGCTTCAAATTAGCAGATATTTGTACAGTAAACATGGTGTAACATTACCATTGTCACTGCCCCCCCATACATTCACCACCACTATATATGGGCACGGCAGTACATGTCATCCTCAATTTGGTGGCTGTAATGAGATACCATCCTCTTCATCACGGTGGACTTTTAACCTTTGTTSTCAGGGCATGTGCAGTTATGATATTTATGTTTTTTTTTCTAGTTCTCCACGTCTTCATTTTCAATCATTTTGCTGACTGTCCTGTGSCTTGCCAAGTTCTCMTTAGTGCTCTCTACTGTTCTTTRTTATAGCATCTACCTTTCTACTTTCTTCAGAACTTTTTCTGATTTATGCCCCTTGGTGATTTTATGTATCTACATACTAATCCAGCCGGTTAGATTATGTGCAGCTGGCATGCAATATGTTGCTAATACACTATTAAGAAACTTAGAGCAATATATATATAAGCTGTCATTGATAATATATTGAAAGCGGTTATGTTGTATTTTAATAATATGTAAAAAGTTATTGAATGCTTATACTGATARTGTATAAAAAGGCTATAGAAAGTTTTCAAGTAATAGGCATCATAAGCACCTTGTCACTTTGATATAAACACGTGTATCACGTGTGTCCCTAATTTGGGAGGAAGAAGGGACACTGATGCTCCATAGGGAGCAAAGGCAGGAATAGAGTCCAGCAACAGGGATAGATTGGTGGGAAAACCTGGTAAAAGAACAAGGAATTTTTAATAAATAACGGAGGAAGGCTTTAATTGAGGAGATTGCTTTTATTTCTGTTAAAAACTAATATGTGAATAAGCAGGGGATTTCTGACTCTCCAGAGGGAAATTTGGATCTGGGYGGGGAGGGCACACCCAGAAAGACTGGGATGGGGCCATTATCTCYCCGTAAAAGTCGCACACCAACCCTCTTTACTCTCTCCCACAGGTCAAGAAGGCCCTTTGTGTCCTGATCCAGCACAGCCTGGTGCGGTACGAGCTGCAGCCCCGGGGCTCTGTGGAATATGAGGCGCGGAGTGAGCGGATCCTGCGGATCCTGCGCTACCCCCGTTATATCTACACTGCCAAGACTCTCTAYGGGGACCCGGGAGAACTGCTGGTGGAGGAGCTTCTGCTCCATGGGCACCTTCCCATGAGCTGTGCTGTTGCCAGGGTTGCCGACCGCCTCACTGAAACCATGGAAGGTGGGAATGAAGCTGTTCTTTCTAGAAAATGGGATCTGGAAGTGCGTTTAGTTGGTAAATGGGACTAGAGACACCATAGGGTGTTCATAGCCAAGCTCTGGTAGTGGCCACGGTGTCCCCTTGTCCTCCTGAGTCTCAGGAACATCCAGGATCTGGTCTCGGACAGGCTGATGGGGGCCATAGAGGGTGGGAAGCTTCTTAAAAACCAGGGTTTGGGATTGAGTTTGTGAATCCCAAAGGGTCTGTGGGGTGCTTACGGTCGTGGTAGTGAGCGTGGCATGAGCATGTTCTCCAAAGCCTCAGGAATATCCCAGATCCAACTGCTGTGTCTTTCCTCCCACATAGATGGGAAAACGGTGGATTATAGTGAAGTGTCCAGTACATTTGTGCGCCTGGCAGATACCCACTTCATCCAGAGGTGCCCGATGGTCCCAGAAAGCCCCCGGAGTGCCAAGGTGCCACTACCCCCTGCACCTGCCATGGCCATTGCCGAGAAGGACATGTATATTGTGCCTCGGCTCAGCCTTGTCGGTGAGAGCCCCTGGGATCTTGGGATTTGAGGGGCCTCAGGAAGTACTCAGGCACCTGTTGAGGCCACAGTAATGGATTTGGATGGAAAATAGTGTCTTGGGTTGACAGGGAAAGGGAAGCGGAGACACTCRTGCGACGAGGAAGAGGAGGGGAAGCACAAGGCTAAAAGGCAGAAGCAGGAGGGAGGAAGCTCAGAGGTACAGGGAATGCTGGAGTTATGGTGTGCTCCATGCTCTTGCCTGGGAATTGGGACATGGGAAGGGCGGGGTCCATATTCCCAAGCATGTTCCGGGAAACCCTTTCCTCATTTTCCTGGCCCATTTCCCCTCATGTGTTGTCTTTGTCGTGCCCAGACTCCCCCAGATGATGGCATTTACTGGCAAGTCAACCTAGAGCGCTTTCATCAGCATTTCCGTGACCAGGCTCTGGTCAGTGCCGTGGCCAGCCGCATGGACCAGGTCTGGGACTCCCAGCCCCATTCCCACTCTGGAACTGAGGTTTTCCCCCTCTAATTCCCTGCTTTCCCAATACAGACCAGCAGCGAGGTGGTGCGGACAATGCTGCGCATGAGCGAGGTGACCACGGCCTCAGGTGCATCGCGCACACAGCCGCTCTCCTCCAATGAGGTGGGTCCTCGGAAGTCCCTGAAAAGCTGGTATCCCTTGGAATCYCTTGATATTCTGTGTTTTTTCTGTYCTAGATATTCCGATCTCTTCCGGCTGGGTACAACATTGGCAAGCAGGTGCTGGACCAGTACCTGGCACTCCTGGCTGACGATCCGGTGAGCCTGGGGGCACCAGACATGGGACTGGGGGGACTCTGGAGCTCTGTTGATTCTGTGATTCCTTGGTTGTTTCTCTGTCGGTCTGAGGTATGGTATGTTTTCCTGAGAATTAAGGAAGGTTTTTAACAGATTCTGAAGATTTTTTAAGTAACTGGAAGAACAGATATCAAAGCTATTGAACAGATATTGAAATTATTTATTGGGTATTAAAGTTACTTTACAGACATTGRAGATATTTAACAGATGCTGAAGTTTTTTAAGAATAGTTTAATTATTTAACAGACTAAAATGTATGTAATGAATATTGAAGATACTGGAGAGAAACATAAAATATATTGTAGATATTAAGAGATACCAAGGTTATGTAAAAAATAGCGAAGGTATTTTAAGTATTTTGGGCTCATTTCAAAGTCAGTAAAGCTACCTGTAATTCTGAYACTGAAGATACTTAGAAGATATGAAAGGTATTTWAAAGCCCTTGGAAGTGTCAGTAAGACCTTGCCCGTGCTTTTAGGCTGTTAAAGTCCCAGGTATTTTTTCCCTAAAATCTTCTTAYTGTTCGTGCTCCAGATTTTAAGGAAGAAATCCATATTTTCCTTCCTTCAGGGGATGTCCTAAACTTTTCCCTTGTCTCTCCCTGCAGCTGGAGTTTGTGGGGAAGTCGGGGGACAG